CTTCATAGCACCCTCAATAAAAGGACTAGCTCCTGCAGAAAATAATTTCTGGAGCCGCCACTGCATTTTACATAGTCCCAGCCTCGCCTTGGCGAGTGGACCTTTTACCACAATGCTGCCCTCATTGGCTGGTAGATGTAAACATAAACCCAGTGTTGTGCCAGTCAAAATAAATTTAGGATTATTTTTCTAAAATATATCTTTTTATTAAATTGTTCCATATTTAACCTTTAATCATGCATACGTGTTAATCATGGCTGGGGTAATTGCCTGTGCACTTCCTCTGAAATTAACGCGACATGTTCGCAAGCTGCAATATGCGAGTAACCAGTAGGGGGAGTTGACAAGACGAGCGAGACATACTCGCCATTATCATGCCGTCACAGGATTAGAGGTCTTACATGCTATCTACAACACCGCTGCTGTCTGTCTTCTGTTGTGATCCCAAAATTAACCAGCGGCTGTGTCCTTCTATTGTTGCCATGTTTGTTTTGTTCGTATCCTTTTACCAGCTCTCAATCCAGTCTGAGTTCTGTACTGTGCCCCCTAGAGGAATCCTTCTGTATTACAAGCAGCAGCAAGTATGAGACCAAGACGAACCTGCTGCCTACATCAACACAAGGCTAAAGAGCAGTAGAGTAAAACATCTGGAATCTTTAAAAAATAATTCGCATGCTTAACTAATATAAAAAAGTACGTCATAACCTTTTAAAATTTTGTAGCCGAGGTAAAGAGGACAGACAATGAACCACAGACTTTTTAGATACGTGATGCCATCTTTCGCCTTGCTTGTTATTGCATGAATTGTTCAAATCCAGCGTGGTTTTGCAGTTCTACTGTGATTTCCTGATCTTTGAGAACCGGCGGTGTTAAAAACTTCGCTGCCGATTTGCGTCTGACACACTTTTGCTGGAAAGAGACGCACTGCTGAGCCCATGGGGAAAATATTTCCATTACGCTTACACATCTGATGGAAAGGCCGGGTAAGAAATGCAATGCTGAATTAACTTAACCAAGATGCGTCAACTGGTTCCACTAAACCTAGCAACTTAAGGGGCAGTGTGTAGTTTCCTGGCGCTAGGACGCAGTACAAATATGTCAGGGAAGTTTTACACCATATCAACGTGACTGTCGATAGTTTTTTTTTTTATCACGGTAAATGTTACCTGTAGAGCAGAAAGCATATGACCTCATCATGATTCCTCCGACTTTAATGGTCCTTCAGCTAATTACAGCAAGACAGTGCAATGCTAATGCTAGTTTTCTTGCGCTATGGTTTCCGGATCTTCTCGGGGTCTTGCGCCTGCTGACGACATCATCATACTACGACAATACCGCTCGACCAAAATATTCGCTTCTCTTTTTTGATTCTGTTCACTCACAGGTTTTGGAAAGACGTCAGCAGTTTTGTTATTAAATTCATGTTTCTTACTACCTGATGTTTTCAAACATGGTAATGTAACTTCTACAAGTCGTACGTCCAGCTAGTGTTGTTTTCGCTAACAATGACGATGTCAGTTTGATTTTGTTGAGGCCCTTTTTTTTTCATAACGCAAAGGAGACGCTGACGAGATAAAAGTAGCTCTTTGGTAACTAAAACATGACGAGACATGCAGGAGTTTTCTTTAAAAAGCCGAGACTAGACTAGACAAAATCTATTCTCAAAATGCAAATTTCTGCCTGTCTCGCAAAACCTAAGATTAACAGCCGACAATGCTACTTTATATCCGTAATGTTGACACATTTCTTATCCGTGTACTTCCTGAAAAAGCCCTGCTGTTGGGCAGGAAAATTAAAGAAATGATGGTTTTCAACAGGTTTTATTTGAGCTCTTTTACGACGAAAGTTTTAAAGTCAGTGTGTCAGGATTATTGTCTCTGCTTCTTGGTTCCTAATAACGGTTCACATTCCTGCTTTTTAAACCAACAGCATAACAGTTTAAGCCCACTTATGAGCATCATTATACATTTAAAGACACTAAGATGGAGGTTTGATAACTCAAATAATAAATGAAACAAACACATTTCTTTATTTCTATATAAATGTTGTGTAGCATACTCTGTTTGCTCCCTAATAGTCCATTCTGTTAAAAGAAAATCATAAATTTCTTTTGTGAAAATCCACAGAATGACGCACAGATCAGCATCAATATATTGTTTATACTTTATAAAAAAGGTGAAAAAATAAATAATACCAGTCTGGGGATTATTGTTTTACTGAACAAAATCTGGGCCAGCTAAGATTGTGTCCCATAGCCCTAAAATAATTGTTATGAAACTCACCGCAGTAGCTCAGAGTATGTCTGACCTATAAATTCATTTGTTAGAGAATAATACTCTGTTTAATTTTGTAAAACAAAATTCTTTGTTGACTAAAACCTTTTTGAGATTTAGCTGATTAAAACCAAGACTAAAATGCATTTTCGTCCTCAAGACTAGGGCCCATTCTCAATACTCGCACTTGCACCCTTTCGCCCTTCATTTGCGCGTTCCAGGCCAGGGGTACGAGTGCGAAGGGTGTCCCGATTCTCAAGTGCGGAAGTTTACCACGCCGCAGCGATGCGGACCTCGGTCAAGGGAATTACCCACAAGTCATTGCTGCGGGAGAAAAGGCTCAAGTTCTTTTTCTGAAAATATGTATTTTCTAATGAAATTAGTTCATTTTAGGACGATTATCTGATACTCTGAATGTTTTAGACAAAGCAGCAATGAAGTTAAATTTATTTCAAATCATTGCTTTATTGTTTGTTTGAAAGTTGTTAATACAGGTTTCAGAAAAACGTTTCACAGTGACCAGCATCCCAGCAGGCGTTGCGATTGATGACGCAATGCTCCCTGTCTCAATTCTGCAATTATTTGCACACTTGTGTACAACGCACTCGAACCCTACTGCGCACTTTTTCCAAGTGCACTTTGCAGAAGACCGCGGGGCGCAGTGCGAGTATTGAGATTGGGCCTAAGACTAAAACTAAGATGCCCTCCAAAACCAACACTGCATCCAGCCGATCATCGAGCGTGATGTCGTCAACAGGCGCAAGACCCCGATCTGGCCAGAAGGAAACATGGCGTCTAATATGGCACCCCCCAAAATACGTTAGATCCGCGCCCTATGTACATCAGACACGATTTTTATGGTTACATGTTAGGAAGCTGCCAGTAATTTTCAACGACTGGACATCATTTTATTAATTTTCAACTTCATTTGATAAATATTTCTAGATATTAAAAATAAAAATACACGCTTTCACTTTAAATGTAAAGAGTAATACACATTCATATACATTGTTATGTAAATGTGTATTACTCTTTGCATTCATGCAACTAGTTTTAGTGGGTAACATAAAATAAATTCAACACTTCATTTTTTAAAGTGTATAAATAAAACTCTGATATTTTATACATAGGAGGTGGAATTTGAACAGTGTTGTACTGGATGCAAACAACTCACCAGATTGATGATAACAATAGTGGGTAGAGAAGAGAAGTCTTTCATTGTGCATGTTTAAAAAAAAAATATATATGTATAAATGAAGAAAACTGCATTTTTAGTCAGAATATTGCATTTCATAAATGCACGTGGTATTGTTACGATCTATTGGAGTATTTAAAAGTGTTTCAAATGGCTTGTATGGCTATAATCACATTACATTTGATCATTTTGACACATGATGGCTTCATTCAAAACTACAATCTTTTATTTCTGTAAAAACTGTGCTCCTGTCTGGTGGCTTTTCTTGGTTTGGCCTTGTAGTTTCTGTTGTGCTGGCAGTGGGTGTTTCCATTTTGGCAACCTCAGGACAGTTCCCTGTGCAAACATCTTCAGAATGTGGGAACTACCCTTTAGTAACATTTACATAGGAAAAATACCCTGTTTGGTCAAGTATAAAGTCAAAGCTGGCTCAGATGCTGTCTAAGAATCGTCTCTGATCCCAACGATTAAAATTATTATGGCTTAAATGTGGTGATAAGGTGTTAAACTGACCTGGATAAAATGACCCTAAAGAGGTAAAATGGGATTAAAGTCAACTGGTGTCCAGAAGAAGGCGGGAAATACCCAGGGTTTAGTTGTATGACCAACAAAGGCAGGCAGAAAGGGGTCTGAAAAGTGAGGTCCTGAGTTTTGTCGATGGCTACAGCAGATAGGATGCCTCCTGTGAGACAATCTGGTGAATTCTGAATGTCGCTGTGCTAACTCGTTGCTGATAGTTGCTCTGAACCCTCCTCCAAACTCTTTTCTCCATCTTGAGACTTTTTCCTCTTCTTGTTACCTAGAAATAGAGAACATGCTGAAACTCAGATTTATCAGACTCCTGATTTATTCCCTTCTATTATAATTGTGATCATATTCAAGCTATTTCGCATTTTTTAAATACATTTAAGAATAAATATGAGTCATTTATTTGCACCAGCAAGGACATGATCTGGAGGATCGGCTCTGCGGGAAACGGTATGCTGCTCAAAAGTGACGCGGCACGTCACCTGTTGCTAAGATACGCTCGGTACCGTCGCTGCAGCTGACAGAAAAGTTCAGGCACATCTGACAGTGTGTGTGGGTGAGCTGTGGCTCTGCTGATGGTGACAAAGTGCTCACTCACTCAGTTTACGCAAGAGCTTCTTCCCAATATTCTCCTCGGAACTGGACAGAGACAGAGAGCTGATGAAGGGAGAGGTGGACGGCTCTGTGGGGACGTCTGGAAGAGATGGGAGAAGATTGAAGAAAATGCCATGATTGCTGAATTGCTGTTACTTCTGTGCTAATCCTGAAAATAACTTGTGGCCTTCAATTGTTTTGTCTGATTTTATTCTACTGAAATGACAGACAAGAAAAAGATGTTTTGAGGATTAACGGAATGAAAGGAAGCAGGCTGAGTGCGGTAGCCGTACTGACCGTTGTCAGCAGAACCTTCGTGGATGTTGGGGATCTCATCCATACGGAGGAACACGGTGTCATTCGGACTCCTCTGTCCATCAGATTTACTTCCTGTCAGGAAAAAAATAGATTATTAAGCCAGATGCCAAACAGCTGCATAACTGAGTCTGTCTGCAGGGGGAGGTAGAGAGCTTGCTTTTTATCATCAAAGTCTAAATCTGACATGTTTTGAATCAGGAATTTGAATTTTAACTAAATCTGTTAAAAAATTATCTGACTGAATTAATTATTTTAGAGGCCATGTGCTGAACCATCTGTCCTCTCATTCTTGTTCTGTCACACGAGAAAAGCAAATCTACCCGCATGTGCATGGACACACACACACACACACACACACACACACACACTGAATGGTGAGTTAAACACATATGACAAAAGTTTTGCTTATGCTATGTCTGTGCCAATTTGAAGTTTGTTTGTGAGTGAAGCTGGCACAGGAGTTAAGTGCTCTCCTTGTAATCGGAAGGTTGCAGGTCCGAGCCCCACTCAGTCTGTCGCTGTCGTTGTGTCCTTGGGCAAGACACTTAACCCCCTCGCCTACTGGTGGTGTTCAGAGTGGTCAGTGGTACCTGTGTACGGCAGACATGACTCCGTCAGTGTACCCCAGATCAGCTCATCACCACCAGGGTGTGAATGTGTGTGTGTGAGTGGGTGAATGACTTATTGTGTTGCAAAGCACCTTGGGGGTTCCAGGATTCTAGAAGGCGCCATAAAAAAAGAGGTCATTTACCATTTTTTTCATCTATTTGTTGCCTTTGTCGTCACTTTTTGAATAATAATATTATTTACATTCCACCTTTTGCTTAAACATCCTGCTGTCGACCGGTCTGTGGTGGTGAAGAGAGAGCTGAGCCGGTCTATCTACATTCCAACCCTCATCTATGGTCACAAGCTTTGGGTGGTGACCATATGTCGATGGTGGTGACTGAAAGAATGAGGTCGCGGATACAAGAGGCCAAATTTTATCTTGATCTGTCCACTTTCCGTCGTAACAATGCACCTTGTGGGACTGATAAAGAATTATCCTAACATCATGCACGCAGGACTTACGAACGATGCGGTTCCTCTCGTTGAGCTGGAAGGTGTTGTGAAGGCCGCCGTGAGGGTGGAGGTGTGCAAAGCGTGCTAGCCCCAGTCGAGTGTGTGCGCTCATGAGAGGGAGGGCGATGCTCTTGGAGCGAGCCTCTGGACCTGGAGGCCTCCCTTTGGAGAAGGGATCTGTGGCGTCCGGAGTCTGAGGGCAGCTGTCCATCCGGGTGGCTGTCAGAGCATTCTGGTAGTGGTTCTTGGTGATCTGGATCACCCACAAAACCAGAGTTATTGTCGGTTATACACCCACATGCCTCTAACACTATAAACCCTGTTTTGATTGGGGGTTAACACAGGTAAAAGAGGTGAAGGGAGAGGGCACATGCATCATGTATTCATGCCTAAGTGGAGCACAATTATTCTTTGTGATTAAAGGAAAGCAGAACGAGAGACAGGATGTCTGTGTTCAGTCAAAATCAGTGATTTAGACATTTCAAAGGCAGATGTTGCAGAGGGAGCCTAAAAGTACAGTGTCTTACTTGTAATTCAGATTTATTACCCCGAGTGTGCAGGAAATTAGAGATTTAATTGTGTTTGTAATGATAGGAAGTTACTTTAGTGTATAATAATAGTAGTAGTAACAATTGTGGTTTTGTGTGTTTGGGAATTTCTGCTTTTAACCTTGATGATCTGCAGGTCTGTGAGTTGTCGGACTGAGTAGTCTGGTAAATAGGCTCCACCTGTTGTCAGCTGAGCCACACTGCCTCCACTCAGCAGCGACTCTGATTGGTTCAGGCTACTGGCTCGAGAGCTGTTCCTGTGAGCTGAGCAGAACAGAAGGAAATGATCAACAGTAACTGTGAGAATATTTTCTATCTATGTGCAAAATTAAACTTGAGTGTTTTACCAACTTGTTCCTAAACACTAAATAGTTCTGTTGTCTAGGTTCCGTTTAATATAGGGATGCTTGATATCAGATTTTTTACCAAAATCCAATATTGTCTAACTCTTAATTGCCGATACTGATATACGTGGGGTCTCCAATAAAATTTAAAAATTAATAATTTAGGTTACTAACATCACATACCTCTCATAATAAATGCTTAAGCTTTAACATTATTCATGCAAAACTGCAACTAATTCTATTTAAGTAAAAAAAAAAAAAAAGTCATGTTTCATTTGTCTCCAACAGTTGCTGAATGATATTCTCCTTGAGATAATCCTGACTAATGCTCTGTGATGCCTTTAGGCCATTGATAATTATTAAGTTCATGATGGAAAAAGTTTGATTAATATGTTAACAAGTAGTACAAGTGAAATAATGATAGGGGTGAAATGTTTTGGTGTTACAGTGTTACAGACAATCTTAGTTATATTGTCAGTGCGAAACGCCACAGTCTGTAACTCGGACTTATTACAGACGTAAGTTTTTGTTTCCTCCATTCCTGATGTTTACATTTTACATTTAGGCAAAAACAAAAGATTAAACAGATCATTAACACACTGATTTGGCTTCATAAGTTTGTGCATTAAAGAACATTT